TGCCTTTTTGATGTGAAGACCCTGCTAGGTTACCATGGGGAGAGTAATTAGCTCTGGCTGGATGCAGATGCGAATGAGCATAAGAGATGGGAATGTTCTTATTGCGCTTACTTTATCATACTTAGAACGGCACGTATGGGTGTGCTTGTGTGCACACAGATACTCTTTCACAACTACACAGACAAACAATCACTACCGGCTCATTCTCTTCTATTTATGGCCAGGAAATGAGAGTAGTGCTATGTCTGGTTGAGCTGAGTAACACTATTCTGTCACACATAGGTTTGACATCAAACACAAGTGACAAGCCTATCCTATCCCTCTCTACCGAGTCATCACCATGTCCCAAAATCACATTATTGCCACAGGAAACCCAGCAGAGGGTGGTGAGTAGGGGTGTTGATCCCAGCCTTTGGCGTCTACAGTATGCTTTAAAAACCAAATAAAGCCATTTGGCAAGAGCTGATTACTTGTTTATAAAAAAAACACTGAATGTGTGTGGCGTGCCATTTGGTTTTATATTTTATGGAAAGCCTCTCACAGCAACATGGATACGCGTGTGTGTGTTTTACGGAAAGGCCTAGTGAATTCGGTAGATGGACATTTATCAATGCTAGTGCCACGCTCTACCATTTGCAACACACAGGACCATATCATTACCTCACTGCCCTGGCAGGCATTAAGCGGCTCTAGCTCGGTAAGCTGCAGTGTTACATGAAGACGGGCAGGCAGGCAGGCAGGCAGGCAGTGGTGTGGCTGTAATAAGACCTGTAGCCAGCACCACTGCCAAGGCAAGGCGGGGTGAGAGATGGTGCCCATCCCCTACATGCCCTGCTCTGCCATCTGTCACCGGGCCGGAGCGGAGCCCAGGGAGGGGTCTGAGTCACTCAGTTGTTGTCACCTAGACAGGCCACACTGGGGCATGCTGTCTCTTTGTGCTCCTTTCAGGCCTCAATCCACTGCCAGTTTAACACACTTATGCAGCTCTGCCAATATCTTTGGATTCACTAAAGATTATTTCCTGAATAAAAGTATACTCCACTAAGGGCTTTTTCAAGAGTTTGTTCCACCCTGAATCCAATAGAGCTTGAGCATTTAGCCGATACATTATGTCATTTTTTATTAGAAATACCATGCAATCAGTTGTACCAGCAAATATCTGCTAAATATAAGTAGCAATTAGATGTCCTCACCTGAGGCCTCAACCAACTGTCATGGAGATCTTTCACCCATTTTGACATTATGTTGAGTAGACCACATGATCAATCAGCAGCCTAAGAATAAATCAAATACATTTTGTTATGACCTTTCAGATTCTGCAACCAGTTGTGTCAACTGTAATATATCATTTATTACAGATGATACTGTCTCTTTAAATGTTTGACTCTGGACAAAGGTTGTCACTTAATTTTTGCCAAGGCGCCTGGTTATGTCATTTCCTGGCTGACGGTGTGTGTCAGGGAGGGGAGGGATAAAGGGAGTGAGGAAAGGGGTCAAGCAAGCTTGTGCGTGCACTGTGCTGTAAGCAAGATGATCTCGCTCAGTTAGTGTTCATTGCCAACAAGCATGCAAAGTACAAACATTCACATCCATATGCACACATGTCGTGTCTAGAAAGAAAGACACGCACACACCCACATGAACACACACACACACACACACACACACACACACACACACACACACACACACACACACACACACACACACACACACACACACACACACACACACAAAGAGGGATGGGAAGTTCAAACTGAGCAACAGCCATGCAAGGTCAGAAATAAGAGATGTTCCTGCTGATTCAGAGTCAGTGTCAATGCTCTCACTTTCACAAACACAACAAGTGTGTGTGTGTGTGTGTGTGTGTGTGTGTGTGTGTGTCTGTGTGTGTGTCTGTGTGTGTGTCTGTGTATGTGTCTGTGTGTGTGTCTGTGTGTGTGTGTGTGTACGTGTGTGTGTACGTGTGTGTGTACATGTGTGTTGAAGGGGCAAGTAGGATAGAGGCAGGAGTGAGACACACAGGGGGTTGAACACTGCGAGGCTCTGACACATATGCACACTTCTATAGACATATGCATTGGCAGGGACTTGTCGAACTGCTGCGTGTGTAACCACGCACTGCCACCGACACACAACACAGACACACAACACCACAAAACATATGCATGAGAAGTAAGGCCACATAGCAGGCCATTACACCACCTCCAAATGCACACACTCTATCTCTTCTTTATACAACTCTGCCCTCCTTTCAGATGATGCTGACATGTGAAGGCTCCTATATGAAGGCCACATGCGATCATAAAACCCGCAGAGCTGTTTATAGCTACACTCTCCCCTGAAGGGCCGCTGCATCCAGCCACTATTAGCTGCATGCGCTGACAGCTGGGTGCTGTGGTGTATTTGTGGACGTGACTCTGAATCCAGCTCTGGAACACATCTTATAAATCATAGTTCAGCCATTAGCATAAATTCTGCCTCTCCTTGCATCTGCGAGACCTGCTGTTTCTGGCTGCTCCGCTCCGTTTTGATTGGTTGGTGTTGTTCAAGTCAAATTGATTTAGCCGTTCACGGAGATTATAACGCTTGCCTTATAGCGCCACTGTGGTGTGCCGTTAATTACCTATAAAATCAAGCTAATTCTGATGCTAAATCCATTTTAATTTCTCATAATGAAGTCAGGATTGGATCCTTAAATACCTTGGCGCTCCATTATTGTTGCAATCATTGTTGTGGCTGTGCATTTGGTTGTACATTGCTCAGCTCAATCGTATTATTGTTATTAGATTTAATTGCCCTAAGTGATCAGTTTGTAGTTGTCGGAGGAAGATGGACTTGCCTCGCAGTCGTTTTTTTTCCCCCTGCTGTCGTTTCTCTCTCAATCTCTCATCCCAGAAAGAGGCCCTTTGAGAGATTGTGAGAGATGAGAGGAGATGAGGGGGAGGGTAGCTCTGCTTTACACCTCTGCAAAGGAGGGATTGCTTTTTTGTTGTTTGTTAGGGGGGGAAATCAATTCTGTTCACATCATCACGTTTTGACAAGGCGAGACATTAAGTGCAGATATTGAGAAACGACAAGAATGGTTTACAGCCTGTCCTTCATCTTCTCTTTTTCTTTATTCCGTCCTTTTTTTCTCCCCTGCAACAAAATCAGAGTGTATTGTCTTGCTTATCCTTTCCCTCCTTCAATCTTTCTATCTGCGCTGTGAAAAGGTAGGGAATGATGCGCTTCACTTACCAGCTGACACCACATAAGCTCGCTCGTCCTCTGAGACACCAGCCTTTTGTTTTCATGTGCATTATGATAATTATGAGGGTCCACAGCTCCTCTCCATTTTCATCACACCTCTAATGATACTTTTCATCAGGATCAACCACGGAAATATCTGCTGAAAGAATCCCTTTTTTTCTCTCCACATTTTTTATTCACCCTGACATTTAAAGGGTGCCAGTCGAAGTAAAGGCGCAGAGTGTGACAGGCATTCATGCAGCGAAATGTGGTAACACTTTTTGGTTAAGATTAGGGTAAAACACTTTGTCTTCACTCAGCCTGAAATGTATTCTTGTAGCTAATATGTAGCGTTCATTTATTCTCCGTTCAGGCTGATAATGTGGCCTTTTAACCCACACCCTGTCACCTCGCATGAGAGGCCACTCGAAGGACCTTTGACCTTGCTCATCATTACACAACCAGCATCTTTTCACTGCAGCAACGGCAGTCATGGCTGCCCAAGTCCGATGGCACACCAGCCTCCTCCCCGCGGACTGCAGCAGGTTTTCTTGTCATCCGCGCCTCTCGCTCTCCCTCTCTCCCTCTCCCACTCTCCCTCTCTCTTGTCAGTGTTGCTCCTGGCGAAAGGCTGATACTTGATATTCAGAGGATAGCAGCTTTTGTCTCAGAGATTTAATCAGTGGCTCTGCTCCCACTGCAGAGGAGAGAGGGAGGGAGGGTGGCAGGAGAGAGGGAAGGAAAGAGAGATGGAGGCAGAGACTGTTTATGTGTAATGACACAATAACAAAGCCTGCCTGTAAAACACAATCTGCAAACTGTGCTTTTGAAGGGGATTTTCAGTCCTGGATTAGTGTCAGGCAGAGGGATATGGAA